TATATGAAGAATAGTCCAGTAGTCCATATTTTGGGGGCTGGGGCTGGGTGGTCAGGGGACCGATTTTCTGCAGGGCTGCGTAAGAAGGCTGGATGAAAGCCTGAAGCCTTTTATGACTTTGGCAGTATTTCATGCTGGGAAAAGTGCTGAAGGATTGAATCTACTGGAACACCCTGCTTTGCTGATAGAGCAAAGCTCTACAGGTTGACATAGAAAACAATCACAGATTAACAGCAAATCAATAAATGGAGAGGGCTAGTAAAGAGCAGTAATAGCCAGCGTGGTAGATTAAGGCTATCTCCCCCCTTTCATACATATCACTGCTAAAAATCAGTATTACCTATTTTGTAGTACTACCTGTTTCAGTGCCAGGAATCAGTCCCTTACTCTGAAGATCTTTGCTAAAAATAGCAGTAGGCTCTGTAGCAACTGTAGTGACACAGCTGACCATTCAGTTAAATTCTCAAAGTAAAGGCAAAAGGACTGGTTAAATTTTCCCCTATGGTTCTTTAATTTCCAGTAGTATTTCTTGGATTTTTTCACTTGCTCCAGTTGCTGACTCTGTCCACCTGATCTGCTTCTTGCACTTGTAAGTTTTGAGTGTTTTTCACTCAGAGTTGAGGTTCAAACCATAGTGAAATTTGCCAGCTGAAGTCCTGAGTTCAGTTTCACTGAAAAGCCTGTAGTTTTCCTTTCCAGTTGTCTCATTGTCGAGCACAAGCTATCTTGTAAATACATAATTTTGTCTTAAACTATTAAAAACCCCCTAAGATTATTAACTCTGCCACTCCATCTTTCAAAGCAACAAAACCAGGCATTTTATTGTTTTGAACATTCAGGGACTAGTTCCTATTTAAGTTCTCATTAGTATTTTGATTACACAGCAGTCATGGCTTCTCTGTTTTAATACAAAAACTTGTTAAAATTGCAGGCCAGCACAGAAACAAAATGCCTTCAAACTTAATAATTACATTTCAGTGTCCTTTCACATGATGAAAGAAGTGGCCACATATTAGATGAACAGGTATCTGAGAAGATAACACTTAGCTAAGTGGCAAATTACATGAATTTCTGATTCTCCTGAAAAGGAGGCTGAAATTAAAAAGAAAGCAGACAGTTGCTAAAGGCTGCCATTTAGAAAGTAAAAAAAAAAAAATAAAATTAGGCTAGTCCCCAACACAAAGAGAGGGACAAGGTAAAAGATTCATGTAAATTTTTCCTCAAATAGCATTATTAGGAAAGCTACCAGTGAGAAAGGCACATGCTTCAGCCAGCTGATGGGCCTCCAAAGCAAGAGACAGGCAAGAATAATATGTAAAGTTTGTCTGACATTGGAGATGATGAATACAACATGATGTCACTGGAAAGGGTTAGAATATTCACTCTAAAAGCCAACTGCAGGTGTATACATAATCCCATTTATCTAAGGGCACAAATGTTTGTGATCTATGCACATCAGAGGCCAAGTAGGAAAAGTATTCAACACAGAGAAAGTCTGAAGCCCACAAATCCAGCTTGCTGGGATGCAGCATTGCCTGATGAATGCTAAGAGAAGCACACCTGAAGCTGTTGCTGCTAAAGAGTATTTATTTCAAATGTGTTCTCCCATCTCATATATTTTTTAGACATGTCTCCATTTCACAAATAAATCAGTTTTAAAAATTATGCAGAATTTATTCTACAAAAGCCACAGAAATGGTACAGAAGGGTATTCAACACAAAGTCTGAAGCCCACAAATCCAGCTTGCTGGGATGCAGCATTGCCTGATGAATGCTAAGAGAAGCACACCTGAAGCTGTTGCTGCTAAAGAGTATTTATTTCAAATGTGTTCTCCCATCTCATATATTTTTTAGACATGTCTCCATTTCACAAATAAATCAGTTTTAAAAATTATGCAGAATTTATTCTACAAAAGCCACAGAAATGGTACAGAAGACAAACTTCTGAAAAACAATGATGATCCCACATCATTTACAGCAATAAAGTTACAATGAAATGTTTGAAAGGCTTCTGTCCTTGTCAATGGGAATTAAAAAAAGCAAAATTAATGTAAGTCAGACTTTCTGACAAGACTTTTAAATAGCAGGCTGACCCCATCAACATTAATCATCTAGCATTAGATGCAACTTAAACATTTCTGCAAAATCTGCAAAAATCAACTGGTAAAAAGAAGTTTATAGTAAGAGATCTGTTGAAACTTCAACAGAGAATACACCATTTTCCAAAACAAAAATAGTGGGGCAGCAGTACAAAAAATAAGGTCTTCCAAAGCACTGCTATATCTTGACTGTACCACCAATGAGACAATTTTCTTTCAGACAAGGTAAAAATCACTTTAAAAACTGATCCGTCTTTTTTTTAAAGTGCATTATGTGAACAGTGCACTGATGCTTTTAACAATCTTAAAAACAAAAATTCAAAGAACCAGCATAGTTTTCAAAGTCCAGAACAACTGACATCAAGAATGAAATCACTTGTATTTCTTAGATTTATAAACCCTTTAGGTTTAGATATGTATCTTCTTTTCTGTCTGTTCACTCTGCAACACAATGAAAACCTGGTCCTGGCTGGTCACTGCTTTTGTAGCTTACAGAAAATGCTGTAAAAATATGGACTATGGGCTGATTTTTTTGCCATCTGAGTTACTGAAAAGTCTCATGGATTTAATGATTCCTTACACTTTGAATCACACTCATTCATGGAGAAACTCAAGCAAAACTAACAAGATGCAAATCATACTTCATCTTAATTTAGAGTAAGTCCATATGGTGATAGAAGGCGTGCTCAGAACTTATTTCTGTAAGATGCACATTTTTCTGGCACAATAACTATTACTTGCAATTGTAATGAATTTGCAAATGTACTGGCCATGTATGAGGATAGAGAAGATACTATATTTATCTACCATAAGAATGGCGAAATGACAACTACAAAAACAATGACAGGTAAGTAATAAGGGCTCTAAATTGGAGCCAAAAGTGCAGACAACTAACAAGTCTGGAAATGTGTCAACCAGCTCTAAAAAAACTGCAACAAGGTAAGGAAATAGATACCAGATAAAGACTGGATGAACAGTAATGCCTTCATCTTTTTGGGTTCGGGATCAGATGTGATCATGTGGTGTTAGGACAGTGATTTTTGTTTGTCACTTATAGAACTAGAGAACTTTGTTTATCTATACATCAAAGAGTGCCTTGCTGTGCATTCCAGTGTAGTATAAAACTTGAAAATACTAGTTGCATATATCTGCTTCTTTTTCTATATTTTTATCTAGTTGTGATGCTAAATGAAATACTCAACAGTTAAAGCCTACTTAGAATGTTGTTCCAATCTCAAAGCACTACTTAGCAGTCACATCAGTACCAAATGACTACCATCTACTCAAGGTGTAGAACAACCACTATGGGAGTATGAGACAATGTTAGATAATGACATTTAAGGTGTAGCTTTGGTATTCAGTTAGTTGCATCATCTCTTCTCAGAGGAATTACTTGAAGTGCTTTGGCTATTCTCTCTCCTATAGCTCGGCTACTTGCTGCAATTATTCTTCGAGACATCAAATCAAATGGTCCACCTAGAAACCAAAGTAAACAAAGCAATCAGCTTATAAACAAGCAAAATTAAAAGTTGGTAAGAAATTAAGCATTGAAAAAAATCAAGTGTAAATTATACATTACTATTTAGGACCAAGTTTTGCCTCTGGATAAAAATGCATTTAACACAACAGGCATCTTTTATGGGCTACATTTAACTCCTCTTCAGTGTATATTCACTGTCTTCTTTTTCATTCTTCCAGGTGTCCAGCCAAGGGAGTAAAGGTTGTCTTGTAGTTTAAGAACATACAATTGACCTTCTCTTCTTCTATTAATGGGATAGGAACTCTGTTCAGTACTGGTAACTTGCAAAGAGGATTGAAAAAAACTCTTGGCCTTCTTGTTTCAGCTCTAGTTTTGCTCCCAATTAACTATTTAAGAAGACCAAAGAGCATTATGAAGGACCAAGTATTTACCTGTTACATCTAGCAGGACTCCACCAGCTTCAGTAATAATGATTCCAGCTCCTGCCATATCCCAGCAGTGAATTCCCATTTCATAATAGGCATCAGCTCCTCCTGTTGCCACAAGGCACATGTTCACAGCTGCTGTACCAACTGCTCTAATCCTAAAGGATACACAGTTGGTTTTTTAATTGAGAATGGTTTGTAAGGAAGTCACAATGTCTGTGTACATTGCACAGACAACAAAGAAACACCATATGAAATGTGAACTGAGCTAGAGAAAATGTATTGGAATGCTGCAGTGAGAATGGGAATGAAGTTTTGCTTAAGTAACTTGAAGAGTTCTCCAAATACATTAAGTTTACAAATATTATGTTTCCAAATTCTGTTACTTTTAGTTTAGAGTGAAAACACATCTTAAACAATTTCTTAATGAAACCGTAATAATATTCTACCTTGCTCTTTGAATACAAGAATTCAAGTAGACCACACACTGTTCTCAGCATTGCAAAAAACAATTACTTCAGTTTCTCTGATGATGCTCAGTAATTATCTCTGACTTGAAAAAAGCCCTAACAGCAGTAATCACAAAAATAAAATACACAGCATAAATCTGGTCAAGAAAACATCAACCCCCTGTGACACAAATTCCAGTTTCTTTTGGAAATGTTGATGCATTTACTAAGTGTGGCTTGTACAAATAGTTGCAGTTATTTCAATTGCCAGTAAAATGTACATTAAATTGTAAGTGACAGCAGCTAAATTACTCCAAGAAGCAACTTCAATCAACTCCAATCTCAAATTATTGTTTACAAATAAAATGCCAAAGCTGAACTGACAACACACCTAAAAGGCATTCCCTAATTATAATTTAGCATATATTCTTTAATGACATCAGAAGACTTCTTGGAAGTAGGAAAAAAATCTATATATTAAGTGTCAAAACAAGAATCCTGAGAATCTCAGTATAAAACTACAACCCTTTTTACATCAGAAACATGAATTGAGTTGAGTAACACAATGCTGTCTACTGAAACCACTTTTAGATGTAAAATGGTTAGTGGAAATGTAGGCTTTGGCTTATCTGGAAGAGCAGAAGCAAGAAATGTAATCAAAATAAGAGCAGTTTATGGACAACTTCAACTGCTTGGATAAATTTAAAAAATGGTGTGGTTTTGAAAGAGGAAAGGGAAATCTACTTTTGTCTTCTGATATATATTTAAAAAACCCCAGCAATTTTCATTAATACAAGGAAAGGAAACTAATAAATGTAATACAGCTTCTCTTCATCTTGTTTTACTCCTGTGTTTCTGGACAAAAAAAAGGCACAAAATAGTATTTAATTTTTTTTTTACTAGTAAATACAACACTTCATAGTCCTACAAAATCAAACATGCTTCATTTCTCAATACTGATTGTTAGGGTTTTCTTGAATTTGTCCCAGCTTGAAAAAGTTATACACACTTGGTTTCTCTGCAGAAGCTGCTAGACAGAAACATTTGAATCTTATTTCACATTTAAGGTGTCAAATGCAACACAACCAATCCTTCCTAAAAATGAGAATACTTACAATATTAACCACTGCCAGTAAATATAAAAACCAGGAAGTATCTTACCCATGAATAGGAATACTGAGAAGTCTTTCCATGTTAGAAAGAATTATTTTTATAGCCTCTGGATCACGATTTGACCCCAATTCTGTTACTAAAAGAGATTTTGTGATGTCTGGAAAAGAAACAAAACCTCACTTTTCCAACAGAACAACATAAATAGGAACAGTAACTAGCAGAGTTTACTTCATTGCTTTCTTACAAGACTGAATAAAAAAGTAAGGTATCTTAGTAAAATGCTACATATATCAAATATATAAAAATCTGTTCTTACTTGGAAAATGGCAGGACAAAATAAAATACAATGAACGAAGCATTATCTGGTCCAATTGTGCATATGCATTAATTGATGCCTTCAGTAAATAAAATTCTATTGCTATAAAAACTAAAACAATCCTGAGATTTTTAAAGGTCACACTTGAAGTGTGGATTTTACTTTCCGCAGGGTTGTAAGCATAGAAGAGTGCTACTGACTTAAATCACTAGATCACACCTGGAAGAAGTTGAATTTTTTGGCAGATTTGTTACAGACTATAAAGAACAGTCACAGACAGATTACAGACATAGAGGGAACTAAAAACAAAGAAAAAAAACTAAGAAAAAAACCCCAGCATAGACACATGGGGAATAAAATCTTCAATTGCCAAGTCCTGATTTTGCAAAGATCAGGTTATATGCATCAAAGAGAACATAACAGCTGTTTCTCAAAACTAAACAGCTCTGGCCAAAGAAAGTCTTGCAAAACAAAACTGTGAGCTAAGAAAGACCAATATATTCAGATCTAAAGCTGTTGTTGTCTCATTTGCAATCTGGTAATTACCAGAAACAAGACACTCAGTTCAGCTTACCTTCTTGGCCTGATACTTGCAGTTTCTGGCCATTGCAAAATGCACCTTTTCCTTTTCTGGCAGTATACATCTTGTCTTCTATGCAACTATACACAATTCCAAACTCTATCTGCAAGAAAAAGTGAAAATACCTTGAGGTTTTTTTCCCTTTCTTCCCATTTACTGTGAAATCACAGAACTTTGTTATAACTAGCAATAAGTAATTAATGTGGGTGTGATTAGATATTAAGTAATAAAAAGTATACCTTTTTGTTTACAACAAAGCCAATTGAAACTGCCACAAATGGAAACCTACAAAACAAAACATTTCACTTATTTGTAGTGAGACAGGATGCTTCTTTCATTACCATGCTTACTCTTAATAAAGACAATGATTAATTAAATGTAATGCATATTTCAAACAGAAATTTGGACTATACAGGAAAGAGTTCTCTGGAACTTGCATGATTTAGTATGAAAATAGACCCAACAACACTGATTACCATTTAAAATACAAACTTTTTCACCCACTGAAGCTATTCCTGTTACAGCTCTTACTAGCTTAAGGACTGTTGTTTTACAGCCAAAGAATACAAACAAGCCTCTATGCTACTAACCTTTCTCAGAAGGAACAAACTGGCCAAAATGGTCTCATGACAAGTAGCAAGTTACCTCTCCCCCCACCTCCACTTTCTCCACCAAAGCCATGAGAAAGAGATATTGAAGAATGCAGGAAGAGTGAAGACAGTGGGAGCACACAGGACATGGTGGGGCTGCATCTCAGTCTAAGTTTGAAATAATCAACCAATTCATACACAGGACATGGTGGAGCTGCATCTCTAAGTTTGAAATAATCAACCAATTCATTTTAATTATTATCTTTTACTTTTCTTTTTGCCATTCCAAACATTTGCCTTTATTACTATCTGCAAAAAATACGGACTTTTAATCTGAATGGACTTTTTCTTACAGCTTTTTGAATACATTACTTAGCAGGATTTGTCTGCTGTTTAAAAGCCATGGTGCACATAGCAGCAGTCATTTCAAACCTGGAATTAAGCATGCTCAGGAAATCTCACTGGGGCTAAAATCTACCATGTTTCAAAGACAGAAGGAACAGGCTGTCAGCATTATACTCAAAGTCCCCTACTCATCCTGGTGCAAAATACCACTGACAATTCCTGGTGATTCTGTTTTCTTTTGCTCCTAGATCTCAGTGGATTTGAAATTTCTTAGAAATCAGCACTTGGAGCTGTTATTGCCTCTCTGAAGATGCTGCAACTCCTAATTCTGAGTCCTGTGGCTATACTGTTGAAATCTGCCCATCATCCGTGCCAAGGGCTCCCGACTCTTGTGATATAGCATAGGTCTCTCATGGAACAACTGCTGTTGGTTACAGAGTGACACAATTACAGTACTTACAGAACTACTAAAATGCTTACAAAAACTGCCCAATGGTTCCAATAAATGCAAATATCAATCTGTAACTATTAACAAGTTCATAGTATCTCTTTTGAAAGAATTTAAAAGTTAAAACCCCCTTTACTTTCATGGAAGTGGGGAAAGAAAAAGGATAATCAGTTGAAGTTGCCTGTATTAAAAACAATGAAAGGTGGACCTGTGCACGAAGTTGGTGGTTCCATCAATAGGGTCTATAATCCATGTGGGGTTGTCTGTTAAAATGCTGCCCGCTCCAGCTGCAACAGACTCTTCTCCAATAAAGCTAAAGTAGCAAACACATGTAAAAGGCAGAAAGAAATTGTTTAAAATGTCTGAATTACAACACTGTCCTTCACATTGAAATTCCTGAAGTGAGATGAAGGGTTTTGTACCACCAGTGATCATATGAAAAAAAGCTGAGAAATACATGATTTATCTAGAAAACACCAACCACATCTGACCAAGCTTGCATTGATATTTATGATGTCAGAGATAACCACGATATGAGGGGAAAAGAAATTTACATTTCAATAGAGATTACTGGAATTTAGCATTCAAAACATTGATGTTTTCATCATTTTTCCAGTAACAGAGAGCATCGTCAAATTTTGGACAGACTACTTATAGCTTTTCACACCTCTCAGCTTACTTGTCCTATAAAAACATTACTCTTTAGCTTGTGTTTTAACTGCCAGAAAGGTCAGACTTTTTAGTCTTATGCAATCTGGTTAGAGCCCTGCAGCAACGGTTAAATTTGAATCATAGAATCAACTGGGTTGGAAGAGACCTCAAAGATCATCGGCTCCAACCCTACTGTCATTATTAGACCATGGCACTAAGTGCCACATCCAGTCTAGTCTTGAAAACCTCTAGAGATGGTGCAAAATGAAGCTTGATTTCAACCCAAATATGACAGAAAGTTGTTAATCTCAAAACTGTTTAGTTTTACAAGCATTACAAAATGGTAACATGGTAAAGGTATGAAATCCAAACCAGACTTTTCTCCTGAAGAAGATGATAGAGTGTGTGCTCAACCATCATAGTAAACCAAGGGACACATGGGCATAGTACCAGAGGAACCCAAATTTCACAGTTTTTGCTGCTCACGGAAGTATTTATTTTGGACTGCAAAATTATTAGGATGCGTCTAAGAGGGTGCGATTCTCTTCTATGCTTTTGCAGGTTGTTACAATTTATCACACATTACTCAACCTATGAAAAGTTTGCATCAA